AAACCTGAATTTAAGCTCTGTCTCCCACCACCACCAAAAAGGGAAAGAATCACCTTAAAACTTCCATTTTAGGTATCTAGAATGATATCTAAAGGTAAATTGTTTGGGGGAAAGCTTGGTCTTTCAGGGGAGCACCAACTTCTAGTATTTTCCCAATTTGGAGAACACCAAGTTGGGGAAGGCTGCATTATTAAAATTTCTATCCCATTTGGACGATATACTGATCATTTCTGACGTACTCAAAATAATAAAATGAGAACTTATTTTGTGACATTCTGGTTGGTCTCAGTAAAATCAGCTGTGTATTATTGTGAAGAATAATCACAATATCTTTGCCTCCCTACAGCAAGGTATCTGTATCTTTGAACAGTACATTCATCTGTAATCTGGATACTTCTTTTGCTAGTCTACTCTGCGCCTCTCTCCTTACCTAATTCCCATTGTACTAAGAAAGAACAAATATTGTGTGTATTATTTAACCCAGTTAATTGCGCATGGCTTTCATTTTCTCTCCATCTTTTAAAAACATGGAAAAACATATTTTCATTTGTTGGTATTTGTTTTAAAAGCAAGAGAAAACCAGACATGTACCTTGTCTACTCCCAACCATCACATTTTTTACCAATTTCCTACATGGTTACCTTGCAGTTTTCCTATGTGGATATATAAAAAAGTACCACTGAAAAAGAATATGTAGGTTATTGTTATACCATGTCCATTCTTTACTTATTTAACTGTAGGCCTTTACATCTACTCAAATTAATTCCCAGTTAGGAAGGTATACAAATTTTGGGAAGCTACAGCCAATCATGCTACTGGCTTATTGTTTAAAAGATTCTATATATTTTAATTGCATTTATTTATTTTATTCTTTAAATCAACTGCATCTATTAACATAATAAAGAGAGAATAAAACATCCAAGGCTGGTGTAATGTAGTGTGTAGCATTACTTGGGGCATTTCCTAAGGCTAGGGAGATCTTATTTGTTTAATAAGTACTCATGAATATGCAAATCGGCATCAGTGCAGCACCTCAATTCTGTCACAATTAATGAGTTGCAAATTAATGTGACAACAAAAGGAAATTCTATTTAGCAACAGAACTACAATGTTTTATACAAAATGCAGAGATGTGGGTGGTTCTAACCATAGGAAATACCTGGCTCCTTTGTACTCTCTTCCTCCTTCATCACCAGGGATTGACTTCAACTAGAAGGCACTTTTAGCTTACTATTGCCATTCAACAACCTAAGATAATCCTATCCAACAGTTCCTTAATTGTTGTACTGTATGTTACAGGAAAAAAAATACTCTTGGCCCTTCTATTTTGTTGCAGCTACCAATTTGCACAGTAGTCTGAAGTAACACTTTGATATCATCCTGGTTAACCTAGAGCCCATTATACACTCCTTCTACTTTAAACCTTGTGAGTTGTTTGCAAGGCCTATATCAAATTAATCCTCCCATTAATATATACTTCAGTTTTGTTGATTTAGGTGAGTATTTTGCAGACTGGTTCCTATAATCCATCTCTGTCTGAACTAATATAGGTTAGAGCTACAATATATGGACTGCAAAAAACCACACAACTGCTGGAAGACAAGAAAGCAAATCTACTGCTGTCCTCTAATGATCTGTCCAGGTTTTTGCATCCCATGCTCAGTATAGGCAATAGCACTACCATTCAAAGGCCAATAAAGGTTACAACACTTGAGGATTTTTAATTTAGGGAAACAAAAGTAGAAGGAAATGGGGTAAAGATTTATAGGATTATGAGCAAGCAAATAGATTTGTTGTCACAAGATATGATGGGTATCCAGTGTCACTAGCTAGGATAGCTTTTAAAGGGAAATTTCATTTTGAGTTAAGACAGTGGCAGATACCTACAACCCAAACGGTTCAATGCTGCCTCTGCATGTAATACTAGCTGCTAAAATATAAGGCTTGGGAAGAACTTTGCTTTCATGACCTGACTGTAGGATTTCCTACTGGATAACATTAATTACTTTAGGAACAAGATACTGGGCTAGACAGGCACATAGTCTGATCCAGCAATATATTTATGTTCTAAATCAATGATAGTTTTATCATGGATTTCAAAAGAATCAAGATTTTACTCTATGAGTGCAAAAAAAAAAGTTTTTTTACAGCAATGTTTAGCATGTTAATTCAAAAGCACCCCTGCTAAGTAAATTCCACTATACTCTCTAGAGAGCATGAGTTTATGATTTCAGTTTTACATTAGGTTTTTTTTTAGGTTAAACTGCTGATGGTTATAATGAAGAAAAGTCTAAGTGTTTTAATTCCCATTCTGAACAGTGAAAGAACCAAAAATAAAAGGCCTATCCTTTCAATAGC